TCTCTGCTCTTAACTTCGCTCGTGTTCTCAATCCTGAGAGCTAGTGACGATTGGTCACCTTTTTCCATCTTAAATTGGCAAAAAAAATTCTTCTCTCGGTCCACATCCAGGAAGAAAATTTCCTCAGGAAACAGAATTTTCATAACTATTCAGACAACAATCCTTGGCCTGATTCCAAAGTGAGATATAATTCGCAATAAGGCAGATAAAATGATTTATTTATTCATTATATATACAGATATGCAAGATTATTATAGATATTAATTAATTTGCTTTTACAGGCTCTCTCTCTCTCACTCTTTCTTTCTCTCTCTCTCGCTACCCATATATGTTTGTAAATTCTCTGTTTTTCTGGAATGCTAACACCTCCAGTTGGGCACCGTGCGTGAACAGTCGAGGCACTCAAGCAGATCGCTTCAAAGCTGAAGATTCCGCCGACGCTGTGGAACTTCGACGTAGATCCTTGCACCAAATGGACGCCGGAAATCGGAAACCCCTTCGTTCACAATGTCACCTGCCAACAATTCAACACGACCACCACGAACCCCACCACGAACACCATCTTCTGGCGGGTCACCGGCATGTATGGGCCTGCCGCCGTTTCCTCTGGCGTGTCATCGGCACATTCCAACTATCTCGCATATTCTGTGCCTGATCGGTGGCTGATCGTTCTTGTCCTTCCAAACTTGTCCACAGCGAAATCAAGGCGGCTAATCTGGCCGGAGTGCTGCCAGAGGAGTTCGGGAAGCTCAGTTACCTATCCTGGATGTACGTTCTCGGCTCTGAATACTAGCGTTTCTCGATTATTTCTTTTGAACTTTGAGGAACTGAACATCTCCGCTCTCAATTTTCGTATCCTCTGAATCGGTGGAACGGAGCAGTGACCTCTCTCGGAACTACATCAACGGCTCCATTCCTGCCGTTAATTGGACTTCCGCTCCTCTGAAAAACTTGTAAATCACCACTATTCCGATCCTTACATCCTCGTCAACGCAAATTCAAGTTTTATATTCTGTGGTCCAGGTGTTACTCTTGGTGGTCGTGGATCTAATCAAGGGCTTTGTTGTGTACCACTGCAGAAACCTTCTGGCGAATCGTATCTCAGGTCCAATTCCGGAGGAGATAGGCAGGATTTCAACGCTTGAAACGCTGTAATCACTCTATATCCTGTTCGTAGAAGAAATTTTATGCACCAACCGGTGTTTTATATTGGTAATAGCTGTTGATCGGCATGTTTTATTCCTATTGGACGTTTTCCTTGAAGTTTCATTGAGAGCAACATGATGCAAGGGCCTCTTCCCCGCAGCCTCGGAAACTTGACCAACTTAGGAAGACTGTAAGCCTCCAGTCAATGGCATATTTTTCTCCTTCTTTGTGTCAATCCTAAGAGAAGAAACAGTAGGTACAATGATGGTAACTTATGTGACTAGTTAAATAAAATAACTGACAGAACATCACGTCATTTCAGCCTTCTTTCTTGCAATAACTTTTCCGGTGAACTTCCCGACACAATGAGTAACCTGAAGAACATAAGAGAGGTGTACGGTTCCTGCTCTTATAATTGTTGGACTCTTTCATGAGATTAAAGATCTTTATAGTATTAATAGTCGGTGCCGGATGATTTTTCTCAGGAGGTTGGATGCGACAGAGATAACTGGGAAGATACCAAGCTTTATAGGGAACTGGACAAAACTACGAAGACTGTTAGCTCAGCTGTCCTTATTTATCTTTTCCCAGCACAGTTGATCATTTAAAAAGGATGTCTTTACTACACGGCATTCTCATGGGCTATAATACGTTTTCTAATCTCGCAGTGACCTGCAAGGAACATTTATGGAGGGTCCCTTTCCACCCGAGTTCTCACTATTGCAGGAGATGACTGAGTTGTAAGTCTGGCTTTACTCTGTTTCCCTACTTTGGGCTGTTGCCTGGGTTAGTACACTGCTGATAATAACTGTGTTGGCTTTCCTTTTGTAGGAGAGTCACTGACCTGAAAAACGTGGGCGGTAGCTTCCCTCCCCTTGAGAAAATGATTAAAATGCAATTTTTGTAAGACTACGAATGACATTCATCCACGAGTATGAATATATTTTTGTCAATTTGTTGACAAGTTTTTCTGTGTGAACATACAGGATTCTCCGAAATTGCTCGATATCTGGCAGCATCCCTGACTACATTGGCAAATTTACTAAGCTTCAATTCTTGTATAGTTCCTTGAAGCCAAATGTTTGCATAACAGATTTTGAAATATTTTAGGCTAAAAAACAGTTGCTATGATGCCTTGAACATGTGGAGACATGTTGCATCTTTGGATTCGTTTAGAGCATCTGCATGTGATAGGAAGGCTTACGTCAGAGTTTTGCAGGGTCCATGGGCACTGCCAAAGATAACTGTGGAGTACCGACTATGTTTTAGAACTTTTTATTATTAGCCTTCCATGAGCATGCATTTGAGTATAATCTTCTTTTTCTGCCCTTTTTATTTTCCAAAGAAAATTTAGGCATCGAGCTTGGTTCAGATATTTGATTCAGGTAAACCTGTCTGATGATAGCATGTGCATGGCCATTGATGTTGCCAGTGGTCGCCCGTTAAAATAATATTCAGGGTCATTAATAGCGTAGTTGTTATTTTGTTCCTCCTCACCGCACATAGGTTCAAAAAAACTGTAGTCGAGACTCTAGAGATATCATATACCAGCAAAGATGTCGGAGGCACAAATTATCAGAGATATAGAAAACGATTCGGATTTGCACTAAGTTCTGGTGTGCAATGTACATTAATAAACGAGGATGTGGTTTTTACATGTGTAGTGTTATCAACCTTGGCCGGGATTATATGGTATGAACTTTGCGAACAACCCTTAAAAAGTTCGAAATTTTTAGTAACCTTAAAATTGAAACCCATTCTGGGAAAATGGATGAAATTTTGAAATAAATTCCTGTGCCTTTTGGACGTAAAACTAGCAGAACTGTTGATGTCAAGCCTACTTGCACATTTCTTGCTGCATTATTTATTTTCATGCAACCATTTTTCTCACTCTCATAGTTGTTCTATTATAAGCAATATGGATTGCTCATGTTCATCTTGAAAAGAAGACTTGTACCTTGAAAATCACATTGGCTGGTCATAGGGAGAATTTCCAGATTTTCATTGTTTTTGTTTGACTTCTGCTGCAGAGATCTTGGTTTTAATAATTTGACGGGCGAAATACCAGAAAACCCTGCATTTCTCGATTCCTTAAATATAATGTAAGTGACTGTGGGTTCGATTTACTCCAGGATTCAACCTAATAGGCCAGTAGGAAAATCCGAAGAGTCAATTTTTTTGCTCCTTAAGCAATATTTCCACCTTAATTTTTTTATTTTCATATTTGGTGTTAATTTTGGATAATCAGGTATCTTACAAGCAACAAACTAACTGGATCAATACCTGATTGGGTTAAGAGACCCCAAAAAAATATGTACGCTGTCTACTTGTATTTTTTTTTTGCGTTTTATATCCTAATAAATATTTGGTTTCATATGAATCATTATCATACTAGAATGTTTAAAATTTCAGGGATGTCTCTTACAATACATTCACCGATCTTAAATCTGCACCACCTAACTGTGAGCAAGAATCACGGTAAGCAGACTTTTTGTCAGTCGAACCTATGGAACTGAATTCTTGTTCTGGAATTAAACAAGGCTTACCTGACTTGCAGGAACTTTGTTGCCAGCTTTTCATCTACAACAAGTGACTCGTAGGTTTCTGACATTCTTTTAAGTTTATATTCTGGGTAGATCAAGTGTGGAAATCATTCACTCTCTCCGGTTAACCTTTGCAGGATTGCGTCATGTCTAAGAAAGGACCTCCCCTGCGACGGCACAGCTAAAAGTGAGTATAAAATCTCCTTTCTATGGGACAGCTTCTGTATCCTTTCAACTGGATTTTTTCTTTTGCGAGGTTGAAGAAAGGCATCCTTACGATTTGAAATTTTGACCTTTGAATATGACGTTATCTTGATTAATTTTATATTCGTATATTTGGAATTTCTGCAGACTATAACCTTTTCATAAATTGTGGAGGTGAAAGTGTGATTGTTGGTGGCAATGAATATGAGCGTGACTTATCCTTTGAAGGCATTTCCAAATATTACATTTCCAGTAGTGGAAAATGGGCTTATAGCAGTACAGGAAACTTTATCGGCGGAAGCGAGCAAAAATTTTCAGCAAAAAATGCATCAAAGTTGGCAATGCCCAATGCAGACTTGTACACTTCTGCCCGTTTGAATCCGCTCTCTCTCAAATACTATGGTCTATGCTTGCAGTCAGGAAATTATACAGTCAAACTGCACTTTTCTGAAATAGTTTTCACTCCTGTCCCAACATATGGCAGTCTTGGAAGGCGTGTGTTTGATGTATCAATCCAGGTGATTTGGATTTTTTGGACTTACAATCTTGATGAATAAGTATAGCTTAGTATTTTTTTTTACAGGCCTCCGTGACACTCTTTTCATTACTTCAAGACGGTTCATTCCTGATTACTTTATGCCACAATAACATTCTCTTGAGTGAGTTAATGTCATATGGGCTGATTCTGATCCAAGCTTCGTTCTTACACACGGTTGTCCCTGAAGACAGGATACATGATATCATTTCTTGCAAACGATAAAACATTTTTTCTAACGCTTTTCAAATGTGTTTATTGGTATTCAGTTATTCCCTCTTTTTCTTTTCGTCGGCGCTTGAATGTGAGCAGTCGTGCACTATAGTATCGTAGTTTTTTCTCTCTATATGTTCCTAGTTGTAAATTGGGCCTAGGTTCACTGTTGTAGGCATTTTGCTTGTATTTACTTTAACAAGTGTGTCCTGATCCAGTTAATAAAACCATCTGCATTGAAACAGGGGAAAAAGGTGTTAACAGACTTTAACATCGTAGAAGCAGCCAATGGGATTGGTAAGGAAGTTATCAGGAATTTTACTGCCCTTGTAGAGGGCAGCACATTGGAGATCCATTTCATGTGGTCTGGCAAAGGGACGAATTCCATTCCATATAGAAGTGTCTACGGGCCTCTTATATCAGCAATTTCAGTGACACCGAGTACGCACAGAAATATGTGTTCTGCTTTCCTATTATTAACTGATTGGTTGATTCTAATTATGTTTTTCGTTGTAGATTTCACACCCCGTGTGTTCAAGGACAAAAATTTTCCAGTTGCCTCTATCGTTGGAATTGCTGGTGCGTCAACTTTTTTAGTGTTGATGGTGATTTTGGGTATAATATGGTTTTACCTGAGAAGGAAAGCTATTGAGAACGATGGTAAGATGCCATTTGAATTTACCTGCTAATATGTCTAGTACACAAATCCTTATGAATGCGTTGAATGACATCTGCACGTATCTTATCTTGACTGTTAATTTGCATGTCTTGTATCTAGAGAAAGGAATTGAAAGTACCCTTGCTTGCTTGTGCTATCTATTCTTCTATAAATATGAGCAGTAGAGGAGTTCTCAGATTTGGTGAGAGCACAGCCAAATCTGAACTTTCATATTCTTTGCTCCCACTACGTATGTGTCTTCTACCTTGAGCAGTTGAAAATAAAGTAGGGAAGGTTTCTTCAGTTTTCTTTTTCCTTTTTGCAACTTTTAGGGTTACCAACTGTACTTGACGAGAAAACGAAGAGCTTGGTGTTGAGTTTCGAGTCCTTGTAATGGTATTTCGATAATATGTAGATATCATGAAATAGTGATATCATGATATCCTTCTCAATGAACCAGGCTTGCTAACTCTCATGTAGATTAGGTCTATAGGTGAAACATCTTGCGTGCTGTAAAGTTAAATCATTGACGGAAAGGTCTAGACCTGGTTAGAGCCAGACCTCCCCCCAAACAGATTGGTGTTCGTAGGGCTCTTGCCCTATTGCCTCCTTTATGCACAATCCTAGTTTTGACGTAAAGAGTAGACTATCTGTCTTTCTTTTGGTAGTTGACCCAGCAGATGTTTATGCTTTAAGCAATGGGACAAAGGGGTAGTCATCAAATGGTCTGCATTTGTGGGAGTGAGGAACATTTTTTCTGAAGACTACTTGAGTAGCAAAAACTATACGTAGCCATGTATTGAGTATACTTGATGAAGCTGAAAGAACAAGCATAGACTTGCGACAATCTATTTACTTTTGAAGTGTTGCCTGCGATCTACATTCTGAGCTTTATTAGACGTTTTCTATAAATCCAAATAGTATCCTCTAGTGTTGATTTTTTTTGTTATACATTGATGGCGTGTATCTTAAACTTCGCGCAGAACTCAAAGATTTGGAGTTGCATACAAACCGTTATAGTTTGAAGCAAATTAAAGCTGCCACTAGGAACTTCGACCCTGAAAACAAGATTGGTGAAGGCGGATTTGGTCCGGTTTACAAGGTTAACCATACAGTCATGGGTTCATTCGCTTTCACTTTATGTCCGAAATTTTAGTCCTCGTGTAATATTGAGAGCCAAATAATAATACACGCATGCTGAAAACTTTCAGGGAGTTCTTCCGGATGGCTCTATGATCGCGGTGAAGCAGCTTTCATCCAAGTCAAAGCAAGGAAACCGGGAATTTGTGAATGAGATAGGCATGATATCAGCCCTAGAACACCCAAACCTCGTAAGACTTTTCGGGTGCTGCATTGAAGGGAATCAGTTGCTCCTAATATATGAATACATGGAAAATAACAGCCTTGCCCGAGCCCTATTCGGTAATCATATTACGGTTTTGCGTTCCTTGAACCTTGTGCCCGCCACTTTTTAGGATTTCCCTTGTCTGATTCATTGCGTGCGGCTATTGGCAGTATGGCGTGAATGTAACAATCACGGTGTTGACAGGTCCCGAACGGTTAAAGTTGAAACTGGATTGGCATACGAGGCGCAAAATTTGCATAGGAATAGCAAGGGGTTTGACCTACCTTCACGAAGAGTCGAGGCTAAAGGTAGTTCATAGAGACATCAAAACGACGAATGTCCTTCTTGATAAGGACCTGAACGCAAAGATATCGGACTTCGGACTGGCTAAACTCGACGAAGAGGAGAATACACATATCAGCACCCGGATAGCAGGGACCATGTAAGCGAACTCTGCTTCTGATCTGATGTAATTCGAGGTGCAGCCCTTCATCGTCTTGATAACTGTTGACACTTGCGCCTTATAAAACTGGTAATATCGTTTCGATGATATTAATCATTGCTTTCTGGTTCGAACCAACGCGTAGCTTTCTTTTGTTTAAGTAATTATGGTCATTTTGACAAGTTAGTTTCAAGAATGTCTCATTTAATATACTTTTCTTTGTAACTTATTTTCGTTCCACTTGTTCCTGCCTTCAAATGTTATTTCATGATCAAGGAAGTTTTGAGGTTATTTCCTCCGACATATCCTTTTATTTGTGCTTCTACGTAGGCCATCCCATCTCAGCAATTGGTTTTTGTCATATGAATGAAGGTGACAGCAGTGGAGAAGCTCTAATTGCTGGTTTATTTAAATATGATGAAGAGAAAAAAGTCCAGTTTGGTCTGGTGGTGCTCTCTCTTATCCTGACAAGGATTTTTCCTGTTTCGCTCCAGGGGTTATATGGCTCCTGAATATGCCATGAGGGGTTACCTGACGGACAAAGCAGATGTTTACAGCTTTGGTGTGGTCACATTGGAGATTGTGAGTGGAAAGAGTAACGCCAACTGTCGCGTCGAAGATGACTTCATCTACCTTCTCGATTGGGTATGCCACCTTCGGGCATTTCGATGTACATTTCAGGCTCAAGATTTCTTTGTAATGGGTTTTGCATTTTTCTCAGGCCAATATCCTGCAGGAGAAGGGTGCCCTCCTCGAGCTGGTGGACCCCGCCCTGGGCACCAACTTCTCCATTGAGGAAGCGCAGCAGATGCTGAACCTAGGCCTCCTGTGCACCAACTCTACCCCGGCCCTTCGGCCTTCTATGTCCACTGTGGTTGCCATGCTCGAGGACCACACGCCCATTGAACTCCCGACCATGAAGATCTTCCGGACGGGGAGCTCGGAGGTGATCTTCAGGTCATCCGATCATAGCAAGGCCGTGTCCATGGACGGGCAGTGGGCAGATTCCACGTTATCTATGCAGAGCAGCAACAGAGGACCCGACCACTTCCACTCCACCGCAACCCGGCTCCTCAGTGACTACACGGATTCTCAGTGAAATCTCCCGGGCATGGAGCAGACAACTCCCACACCCCCCCGGAATATACTAACAAGACTTTTGACTTACGTACCCAGCTAATTATTCGTCAAGATCAGGATATATTTTATGAACTGTTTGGGAGTGTTTTTGGGTAGTGTGTGTGGGCCCTATTTTGGCTTGTTCCAAGAGGGGCTTTCGCTCGTAGATTGGTAGGCTTCTGGCGGTGCACCAGAGCGATGAGCAGATTCGGCCTTGAAATATAAATGGAGGGAGGGAGAGTCTGAGAGAGAGAGAGAGAGAGAGAGAGAGAGAGAGAGAGAGAGAGAGAGAAAGAACTTGTTGTCCCTCACTGATTCTTGATTTTCATCGCTGGATCAGTCAATGGCTTCCTAAGTTGCTAACGCTTTCATTTATGGCCCTACACGACGGCTGAAGGTGGAATGCGCGAGAGGGCCCGTTTGCATGGAAGTGGGGCCGTCTAAGCGGTCAATTTCTGACCACCGGTCAAGGTGACGGACAGTTTATTTATATGCCGACGAACATCGGGCAAGGAACCACGCAATGGGCGGTCATCACCCCATCCGGTGAGTCTTAGCTTCCCTCCGCTTTAAAAAAATGCTGGTTACGCAGCAGTCCAAAGGCACGAATATACTTCTCAGATAGATCCGCTGACAAATACCTTCGTGTGACTCGTTCGGGGTTTTGCGGAATTGCTTGATTACGGGCAAAATCCCGGATTAAGTTGGGAAATTGTTGCGATCCCTTAAACAGGACTAACATGCTACACCTCATCATCTGCATAGAACATCTTAACGAGATGGCGCGGCACATGTCAGCAGTCGCCACCCTTTGCGTATTTTGTCGCAACGACGAGAAGGCAGAGGATGTCTCCGCACCGGCGCCACCTGTCCTTGCTCAATGGTGTACGGTGCCCAGCTACTGCTCTTCCCTTGTTGTCACCACGCCGGAAGGAAAGAGACGAAACCAGCGATGAGACGCTTTTGACGAATAGGGGAGATGAGGCCAGTGACAAAAGGGAGGGAGGATTCGGAAACCTTGCCCACAAAGAAAAGGTTTAGCCTCCGCTCACTCTCAGCCATGACCAGTACACGCTGGAGAACCCTGATACGGAGCTCATTTCTAGAAGCTCAGCTCAACCCACCTGAAGAAACCAAAACCAAACCATGACGTGAAGTACGTAATTGGAAAAATATCTAGCCTGATGTGGATCTGATGTCTAATGCTCAACCTTCTGGGTAAGGGACACCGCAATCTAATATTAACATCTAGTTTAGCATTAAATTCTATAGTAATAGGCCAATTAACTCCATGAACGCAAATGTATAGTAGCTTATTTAGCCAAGTGTGTACCTCATGTCTAGTGTCCATCAATCTAATGCTAGTTTCGTGTCAATTGATCCATTCTAAGTTTTCTGCTCTCTTTATCATCTAATTGATCCATTTTAATTATTTTTTTGCATTGTAGATTTCACACCTCGTCTGTTCAGGGACAATAAGTTTCCAGTTGGCATTATTATTGGAGTTGTTGCTTCAATTGTGTCATTGATTCTGGGGATTTTTTGTCATATATGGTTTTGCCTGAGAAGCGAAGCCAATGAAAATGGTGGGATGTGATTTGTTTGGCATAGTGATGCAGGCCATCCATCATCCAAATCTAGTGGACTGGAAGCCTAGAAGGTGTGAAGAATGGATTAAAGATACAAGTTGGCCCAATAGCTGATATGGCCCATAGTAAAATATATCATAAATGTATTGAAGATTAATTTTCTCCTTTTTCATTTACTTTCCTATGTATAGTCATTGTGAATTTGTTTAAATGTGCCTTTAATCTGTTTTCAGGCACCGTCATAACAAAGCCACCTATTTAGGATTGTCCTAATAGAATCTCGACCTATGTAAAGACTCTACATCATTGCCCTAGAGATATTATTGAGTATTTAAAAAAGATTATTCTCAAGACTTTATCTCCTTGCTAGTGTATTTTGGTGACATAGTTGTGGATTCAAAGTAACCCATTGATCTTGTGGATTCAAGATTGTTCCCTTGTGGATTTAAGAGTGGAGGTTTTCAAGTTATGTATACTTAGCATATAGATTTTTCACTAAAACTTCATTTCTTGTGAATTCAATGACAAATTTTTCAAGATTTTATCTCCTTGCTAGTGTATTTTGGTGACTTAGTTGTGGATTCAAAGTAACCCATTGATCTTGTGGATTCAAGATTGTCCCCTTGTGGATTTAAGAGTTGAGGTTTAAGTTATGTATACTTAGCATATAAATTTTTCACTAAAACTTCATATCTTGTGAATTCAATGACAAAAAAAATTTCTTCGTGCAGGTCTAGCTGCTTCAGTTGACATTAGAAGCAAAGATTTGTGGTCCATATTTGACTCTGAAGACATTTGAGATAATGGGGTGCAAATCAATGAAGATGAATAAAATGTTTTAAATTACAAGAACATATTGATAAAAAATAAATAATAAAAATGATATTTTATAGCAAATCATATTTTGCATGACTATCCTAATATTTTATTCAATAGTCTAAAATACTTAAAAGGAAAATGATTTCATGTGTCAAATGCAGAAAAATATATCAATAACATAGCTAATTCAAAAAGGTGATCTAAAAATGATGAAAATTAGGATTTTTGTATTAAAAAAAATATTTTTAATTGTAGTGGTCATTAAAGAAATGAATAATTTCTAGACTAGATACTAAAGCTTGAAACTTTTTTCTATACATGAAAATTAGTGATAAAAAATATGTGAAATTAGTTGTATATTAATTAAAGGGCAGAGCATATGCTTGGTGAGACTAGCTTCAACTCACTTGTGTGAAATTAGATAAAGATTTAGTTCATAATTGAGATAAAATAAATAAATTATTAAAATATTGAATTCTTAACATGAATTAATTTTTTATTAGTAATCTCAAGATTACAACCAAGGTAACATATTTGTATTAAAATATGTCAAAAAGTTTTATAGATTATCATTGAGAGTTGATTTCATTGAATTAAAGTTATACATGATATCTAGAATTAAAAGTGGTCTTACATGAGATATTGAAGAAGAAATAGTATTTTTCAAGTTAAATAATGTCTTAATTGCTTCTTAAATGTGTAGAATTATTTTTAGAAATAGGAAAAATTAAATCTTAGAGTTCAAGTACTATCACATACTTTCAGCAAGTTCGATCAAGAACATCAATTGTTTCTTTTGCTTTAATCATCAGAATAGTGACTACAACTAGGTGAAAAATTTTATGTGGATTAGTATCATTTGGATAAATTTTTACATTGAAAAAATTAATTTTCTAATGTCAAAGGATTTTATAGACTCTCACCAAAGTTGATTTGATTGAATTAAAATCATACATGATCTCTAGATTAAAAGTGGTCTTACATAAAATATTGAAGAAAAAGTAGTATTGTAGTTATTTTCAAGTCCAATGATATTGTAACTTAAAATTTACTTAATATTTTACATTTTTAAGAAAAGTCATGACTAGAAGAGGAACTACAATTGTTGCACCAAAATCAAGTGGAATCTTATTATTTTGGAAAAGTTCTACATCAAAAAATTCATATGTTTTTATTGCTATTCTCAAATGTTATAAACACAGCGGAAAATTACAAAAGTCAAATGTTTGTACAAAATGTGGTGTAGTTAATTTTATAAAATTAATTGATAAACATGATAAATAAAAGGTAGAACATCAAGAAAAAAATCAAAAGAATGTTGTTAACTTTGACAGTGAAGAAACACTTTCTTAATCATTGGTTGTATGAAGTCTTATGTGTATACCAAGAAAAGATGAATATCATGAAAGGTATAATATGCTTCAAATGAAGTGCACTATTAGTCACAACATGTGAGACATAATTATTAATTATAATTCCAATGAAAATATTATCTTGTTGAAAATTAAGACTAAAAATAGAAAATCATTCACATCCTTAAAAAAATAATTGTATTAAAAATAATTTAGAAAAAAAGTGTGAGACTCGTTTGGTTAAAATTTTAATTGAAAAAATATATCTTGATGAAATTCTATGTGATGTAGTAGATATAGATGCATGTCACCTAATATTGATGCTTGTTATTAGGATAGAGATAATAGTTATATCTTTTTTCGCAATGATAAGAAATATAATAAGTAATGTTGATTGATAGAGAAAAACACATTATTAGCTAAACTAAAAATTATAAATTATGTATCAGTAAAAATGTTTATTATTGCCTACAATTTTTCATAATCTACACCTAAAATTGGTCAAAGGTATTAAAAAGTTTACTTTAATCTTTCCACCTTTTTCCTCTATGAGATATATTGAACATTATAGGATTTTATTCCATTGGCAAACTTGCCAAATTTACCCCATTAAAAAATGAGTCCTAATTAAGATCAGATTTTCTAAGTGTAAGTGGAAGAATTAATTGACAAATGGTGACTAGTTAAAGTGTGAGCTTGTCCTCAGTTTCTTTATTGCTAGTTCTAGTAAAAGATGGAACCTATCATATGTGTAGACAACATGATAATGAAAAATGTTATTTTTAAATAAATATTTCCAAAAATCAGATTAAATGATATGTTTGATATGTATTATGGCTTAATTTTTTGTCTCTAAAGCTAATTTAAAAAATAGATACCATTAAATATGAATTAATCTACATAATGAATGAAATATTTTTAAAGACATCAGTAAAACTTTATGAATGACTAGTAGTGTCATTTGGTTTATCAAATACACGTAATATTTATTACAATGATCAACCAAGTACTGAAATTATATATCCAAAAATTAATTGTTGACTATTTTAACAACATTCTGATTGATAGTACCATAAAAAATAAAAAAATATTCATTTAAGATCCATGTTAAATATTTTAAAACAGAATGTGTTAGATATAAATATGAAAGAATATACTTTTATGACTTCGAGTTTAGTGTTATGGGATATGTAATCAATGCAAATGGTATTAGAATGATG